GATACCATAGCAACTCAGAGTCCCCATCATTGCTTAGCTCTGAAGGTCCTCAGAAGAGTGTCACAAAGCACAGCAAGTATGTGTGGCCCCAGCAAAGTGGGAGACGCAGGGATGCAAACAAATGTAAATAATCACGTCTGAACAACAAAACTGGGAGGAGTGGCTGACACGCCAGAAGCTGTGCCGCCATACAGCGAGACCTGGACAGGCTGGAGAGTGGGGCAGAGAGCAACCTTATGAAGTTCAACAAGGGCAAGTGTAGGGTGCTGCATCTGGGGAGGAATAACCCCATGAATCAGTACAGGTTGGGGGCCGACCTCCTGGAGATCAGCTCTGTGGAAAGGGACCTGGGAGTCCTGGTGGACAACAGGATGACCATGAGCCAGCAATGTGCCCTGGCGGCCAAGAAGGCGAAGGGCATCCTGGGGTGCATCAAGAAGAGTGTGGCCAGTAGGTGGAGGGAGGTCATCCTCCCCCTCTACTCTGCCCTGGTGAGGCCACATCTGGAGTACTGTGTCCAGTTCTGGGCTCCCCAGTTCAAGAAAGACAGGGTTCTGCTGGAGAGGGTCTAGCGGAAGGCTATGAAGATGATTAGGGGATCGGAGCATCTCTCATATGAGGAAAGGCTGAGGGACTTGGGTCTTTTTAGTGTAGAGAAAAGAAGATTGAGGGGGGATCTTACTAATGCTTATAAATACTTAAAGGGAGGGTGCTGGGGGGATGGGAACAGTCTTTTTTTCAGTGGTGCCCAGTGATAGGACAAGAGGTAACGGACACAAACTTGAATATAGGAAGTTCCATCTTAACATGAGGAGGAACTTCTTTACTTTGAGGGTGGCAGAGCACTGGCACAGGCTGCCCAGAGAGTGGAGTCTCCCACTCTGGAGACATTCAAAACCCACCTGGATGACGTCCTGCGCAACTTACTGTAGGTGACCCTGCTCAGGCAGGAGGGTTGGACTAGATGATCTCCAGAGGTCCCCTCCAACCCTGACCATTCTGTGATTCTGTGTAACAGAACACGGTGGAAGGAACATACAGGAGAGACCCTTGCTGCAAAGGAGGAAGCTGAAAGCACAGGCAGTGAAATTCACCCCTGCACTGGTCAAAATTGGTTAGTTTTTCAGCTTTTGCATACAAACACTTGAGCCTCATGTTTTTCGATCACTAACACCTGTATGCACAAATGAATGACTTTCCAAACACCAAACTCTGCTAGACTATGTGTTTTCCTTCCTGGGAACGCCAGGTTCATTCAAATAAGCTATTGAATTAAACTAGAGGAAAAATTTGTTATTTGTTAATCATAAAGTTACTTCTGAAAGTGTCTTTTGCATATATCAATGTATTTGATTTTAGGTATCGAAAGGAAGGTTTTGTGACAGCTCTAGGCTGCCTGTTTTCCTTGACGAAGGAAAAAGAAAGAAAAGGAAATGGAAGAAACTGAATTCCCATAATTTCTGCAATAGGGAAACAATGAGGCTAGGAGGGTGCTTGAGAGAATAAGCACTCAACAGCTGAGTTAATGAGCTGTCTGTTTTCACAGTCTCCTTGTCTTTAGTCTCCAAGAAGCAAGCTATTCAAACTGATTAGCACTTGAATTACTTTGGGTATCAGTGTCCAGATGCTTGTAGGGTGTGCAGAAAGAGAAGCATGTATCTGCATCCTTAGAGACCATGTCTATTCTAGTTGAAGGCAGTGATTTACGGGTATGACAGAATTCCTGAGTAGACAGAAAGCATAAAGCAGCAGATCTTTCTTTTGAAAATCCAGTCATAAAACTTATGTGAGTCTTATAATTTCATAACATCTGAGTCCCAGTTCTCCTCATGTGATTGTTATCAAATCATTATTTCATCACAAGTGTATAATGTTTTGAATTAAGAGTGCCTTTTCCTGAAGACAGGTAATTGAGAAATAAATACAATAAAATAAATTATTGCACTTCTCTTATATAAGAGTTTTCAAGGCTTTTTTTTTTTTTTTTGTAGAAAAGCAGTTGATAAAATTACTCCAGTGAACCCCAAGTGCTCAAATACAAACAGTCAAAGATAAAAGTATTAATGGACTGTTTTGAAGTCAGTCTCGTGATCTGTAAACAGTTGAGAATATCAACACGAGAACAATCTTCTTGCCTGATTAGCATACTGGAATGATTAAATATTTGAACACAGTTTAAATAGTTTCAAGTGCAACATAAATGCTAAGGCATTATTAATTAACTACTGCTGCTTTCTTATACAAAATGGTTACTCAATACACAGCAAGGGCATACACTGCTTCTCAATACAAAGCCAAGACCTTAGCTTCCACCCTAAATAAAAAATTTTAATGCTGTTTTCAGAAATGCCTGAAACTATCAGGGAATCTAGTATCATGTTTTCATTATGCGTTTGCTTTTTTCTCCTCTTTCTTAGGTATCAAACCTGCTCAAATAATGGGCTGGTGGCTGGTTTCCAGAGTCAGTATTTTCCATCTGTGCTTGACCGTGAATGGCAATTTTACTGCTGCCGCTACAGCCGGAGATGCCCGTATTCATGCTGGTGAGTTCAAACAGAAACCAAACCTGTTAGCCTCTTTTCCCCAGCAGTCCCTATAAATGCCTTTGGCCACTTGGCCCATCAAAAACCTTGTCTGGGAAAAAGTTAACTGTGTTTTATGGGGCTAAACAAGTTATTTCCAGTCAGGCAACAGTATTCTTCAGGATCCATGGCTAAGGGAAGAGAATGAGGGCATAGTGATGCTGAGTAGCGCAATGCAGTAGCTAGCCCTAAACGAACAGGCCTGGGTGCCAGCAGCAGCCTAGCTATGCTGGAAATCATGACAGAAGTCTCCAAAGTGGAACAACATTTCAAAGGTGGTGATACAGCTCCCGCTATAAATCCAACAGATTTACAGGAGTAGGACCGTCTCTGCACTACGCAGTTGTGCCATAATGACTTACAGGAGTGAACTTACTGCCAGTTACCTCAGAAAGAATATCCCCTGGCTGACAACTTGGGATTTTTTGTATCTGCAGTGCATACAACTTGCTTCCTCTTTCAAGGCTGTTTGAAGACCAAAGTCAAAATGAGCTACTGATCACAGTCCAAACCTAAAAAAAAAGGTGGCCTCACCTCAACACAATATCACAACTTGTGCTGGCTACCTCACAGAGGCTATGGAAAAACAAACTCCACATCCCAAGATTCCCAGTATCCCCAGGTGTGATTCTCTAAATTGAGATGGAAGCACAGGAGCAGACTCAGAGAAAGCTCATATTGCTCCTGTCCATTCTGTGTAAAAGAACTCACGATTTTACACTCCAGGGCTATTTATCCACCTATTCTCACTGATATAAAGAACAACCCGCCTGCACTTTAAAAAAAAAAAAAAAAGAAAAGAAAACGGGGGAAAAAAAGCTGTGCTTGAATCTTTGTTTCCAGAACTCAGCTTTGAAGTAAACTTCCCATGGAGAGTCATACAAACTGTTTACGTGCCCCTTGATCTTATTTGGCTGGCTGGCTACTGACCAAACACAACAGCAGTGCCTTGCTTTGCATCCTTCAGTCTCCTTGCAGCCAGGAAGAAAAGAAATGGTTTCTTATTATTTTAAAATATTTTAAATTACAGGAACTCTAACAAAGTCTTTGAACATTTGTCTGTCCCCTTTACAGCCTACACTGTCTGTGGATGTCCTCTGCCTGGGGGTTTATTTACATACCTGCCCAGGCTCTTCCCTCTGAGGGAAACTCACTCCAACTTTTAAGCAGTTCCTCTAATTTTTCTTACTCCTCTAAGACTGTTATGTATTTTCAGAGAGACAACAGAAATCTTCTCCAACCTCTTTTGTCGTTGACAATTGGGCTTCCCTCAGAAGTCATCTTTACAACCGGGAACAGCTTTGTCTCTGCCTTGCAAATTGACATAGAGAGCAATGCAAATCCTAACAGAAGTGTTTGGGGTTACTGATGTCTTGCATTTCTATTGCATACTTGCATACTGATTCTTGCATTCCTCAGCTGCACATGGACTCCTATACTGCCCTTCTATTTCCAATAGTGACAAGACTCCATTTTTTATGCTTGGAAAATAATGTCTTGTGCAGTTCAGATGCTACTGTCTTTCCATGCAGAAAAGGCAGCATTTCAAAGGCAGGTGAAGCATTTCTCCTTCTAAGCAGGGTAGAAATCCTCTGTGCTCATGTTTTTCTGGTAGGGGAGAGCTGTAAAACCTCTGGGAAGACCTGTCACCTGGCTTGTGAAAAGTTTCTGGTACATAGTTTTTGATTATGGGTTCATTATAAAACCATTTTGTACCCCTTACTTCCAGGCTCAGTCACACCACCTGGAGCCCAGTTTGTTCTGTTCGAGCTACTGGCCTATCTTGACACTTCCATACCCACTCTCACCCTGGACAGTCTTTCATACAGTTTCTTCTACTTGAGAGCCTTGTTTGACCTTACTCTTTGAACTGCTCACTTACAATGTATTTCTTCCAATTTTTTCAAGCCCTCATTCTGCCTTTGGAGTTAGCAAGGTAGATACAGGCTCCTTCTACAAATGGTTAACCAAATTAGGATGTTATGGTCTGGACGGACAGACAACTAGATGGGTAAAAATCTGGTGGTTTAACAGGCTCAGAGGGTAGTGGTTAAAGGGTGATACTCTGCCCAGGTGCCCATTACGAGCAGAGCACTGTAACTTACCGTCTACCCTGGACCTGTCCTGCTTAACATCTTTAAATGACTTGGAGGAGGCAAAGGAGCACACTCTCACCAAGTTTGCATATGACACCAAACTGGAGGGGGGGCACAACTGATACACTTGACAGCAGGACTGCTGTTCAGAGAGTTATAAGGAAACCCTTTTCCACTATGAGTACAGTGAGGCAGTAGAGCAGGATAACTGGTGAAGCTATGCAGGCTCCATCCTTGGAGGTTGTCAAGACTCAACTGAATAAAGCCCTGAGCAGCCTGGTCTGACCTCATGACTGACCCTGCTTTGAGCAGGGGGCTGTACCAGAGACCTCTTGAGGTCCCTTTCCACCAAAGCACCCTGCAATCCCAAATATGAGGGCCCCTCTGCTGCAGGACCCACACCATCCAGCAAAACTCTCTCTCCTCTCCAAAACAGTGATCTGTCTATTGTCTGCTGGGAATGGTTTCTTTTCTGTTTTATTCCCTTTACCCTGCCTAGACAGTGTCTGGGAGAGTGCTAGTTGTTATGCTGAGATATAAACAATGTCAACTGCAATGTGGTAGCGTAAAACCCCATGCCTTGAACCCACTTTTACTACTACAGATGTGACTTGTCTGAACTGTTAAACTTCAGTGTACAGCCACTAAACTTCCCATTTCTTAAGCCCAGGAGATCTCGCTCACAACTTTACTTCCATTAGCATTTCCAAGTTATTGTCAAAAAACTTTTGTCACACATCACACTTCTGGTCTGTATCTTGCATTCTATTTAAGATCCATTTGACAGAGAGACTGTTTTCCAAACAATCTGCAAAGCAATTCTGGGCTACCAAGGGTAGAACCTCAAAATGTATATGCATATAAGACACAATAAAAATGTGCGTGCTTATACATATCATTTTTTGTTACAGTTTCTGCCCCATCCTGTAATGGTATTTATTCTGTTCCAGTAACTAGTTGTCAATAAACTATCTGTGGAGAAATAGCTATTAACATGCTGCTGACTCCTATGTCTTGGCTGAAGCAGCTTAATTTCACGCAAAGGTTTCTATTACTACATGACTACGTGGGAAAGTAATACCAGGAAAATAGGTAATGACTGTGGTGCCTCATGGATCATGCATGACACATAGGAAAATCCATATTCAAAGGCAATCCACATTGCAGAATTTCTCAGCAGCCCTGAATTTTAATGTGCCATGAATCCTTCATTATGAAACCAAATATGGGCAGAAAGGCATTTTTAAGAAAACTGATAATACTGAGGCATAACAAAACTCTTTGTTTTACATTAGCTCTCACCTTGGGTATTTGATCCCTTCCTCTTCCAGCTGCCTCTACAGGGCTCTCTGGCAAACATAAAAGCAGTAAGACAGCTGATCCTTATGCATGGCTTCTCTTGGCTCTTCTTCAGTACTACATTGCTCCTGAAGTGAGCTGGTCTTCCCTACAATGAATAAGGACAGGTTTTCCCCATGTATAGGAGCCACGCAAACAGTTTGTTAGAGTTTGACCTGTTTTTTACAGCTGAAACATTCCTGTGTTTTTTGAGTCCTGCTAATACTTACTGGAATACTAATTTATGACACCATCGTTCTGACTGAAACTCACACTTAAAACACTTTGCTTAACTTAAGAACATGGTTGAAGCCAAATATATGCTTAAGGACTTTGCCTGGTAGCATCTATATCCCTTCCCTTAGAGTCCAACAATTCTGTTTCACAGCTCGCCTTCTCACCATTAATTTGCAGTTTACCTGTACAGTGAGCCCATACTGCAAATAAATATACTAATCTTTTCCAGTCTCATAGTTTTGCACTTGCTATTTTTAATTTTTTCTTACAAGTACTTTGTTTCCTTCCTCACCATGCCAAGTCTTGTAATGAAATCTGCACATTTTTACCATACTGAAAATAATTAACATTCCTCACAGGAGGCAGAAAAGCTCCCATTATTTTACCTGGCTAGGGAATGCTACCACAGTAAAATAAACTGTGCGCCGATTCAGACCATAAAGGAAGCAAATCCATCACAGATGCAGAGACAGTGTTATTAACTCATCCCATTAGAGCTCAGATGTTCCTCTTTGCCAGGAAATTGAAAGCTTGACTCCGCACTCTCAAAAGCAAACACATGTCACAGAGCAGCCCCAAGTCTGCACAGCCTGTTTATGACTGTTTCCTCTATCCAAACAACCAGCAGTCCAAGTGCCAGAAGGTCTGTCTGGAGCTGTTGCTGCTCTCTGTCACGGTAACATTGTCCAGGCAACAATTACATTTTCCAAGAGTTATGGGGCTTAAAAAACTTATTTGTTTTCTGCCACCAAAGCCATATTAAAACTGATGAGATACTATGCAGGTTTCTCAGAGATTACCAACAGCAGAGATATAAATCCAGGAGGTGAACTCGGAATAGCTGTGGTGGAAACATGCGCTTCTGAGCAACACAGTTGCCTCCCTCCCCTCCTTCTTTTTTTAAAAAGGTATTTAACTGATTTATTTTTTTTATATCCCAGCAAATACAAGCTTACAATTCAATCCCCAGGACCATCTTCCAGAGACATCTTAGGAGAAACACATTTGCTTAACATTGGAAAACTGGCTAATATTATTTCAGACACGTCTGTCTTGAGGAACAGGCAGAAGGCGCCCTAAGCTCTCTGCTGCTGCTCGTAACTGTATTGCACTAGCTCCTGTAGGTCTCCAAGAAGAACTGTGGCCCCACTGTGTTGTCCTCAGGGCTCCTCAGCTCTGTGAGAGTTTGTGGTTTTCAATACGACAGAGTGGAAACAGAAGGGCAGTGATGTGTCTAGGTGAATCTATGATCTCAGAGCCTGGAGCCTGAACTCAATCCCAAAACGCAAG